GGTTTCTTCGTAGGGCGACGAAAATGTCTTGGAATTAGTGGGGATGGTTGTATAACCTTGTGATTATTACAAATCATTGAACTGTGCCCTAGCTGGTTTGGCTCAGTGGATAGAGCGTTGGCCTGTAGACTGAAGGTTCCCAGGTTCGATTCCATGCCCAGATTGTGGGCTCCATCCCCAGTGTGGGGCGTGCAGGAGGCAGCCAATCAATGATTCTCTCTCATCATTGATGTTTCTATCTCTCCCTCTCCCTTCCTCTCTAAAATCAATAAGGATATATATTTTAAAAAATCATTGAACTGTACACTTTTAAATGGCAAATTTTGTGATATGTGAATTATATCTCAATTTTTAAAAGTAATTTTAAGATAACCTTCCTCAGCCAATTTTCCCACGAGATGCCTGGGGTCATCAGGCCCACCTCTTGCCTTGGAGCGGGTAGAGCTGTTGCCTCCCCGCCTCACCCCAAGGTTGTTCTTTCTGGTACTTTGGTGCTTAGCCCTCCCAGTGGCTCCGGGCCAAGCTGCAGACGCACCTAAGGGAGAGGAAAGTAGTGCTGTGGATACAGCGCCAACCTGCAGGTAACCAGGTGGGGCTGGAGGCCTGCACAGGGCCCTGGGGACAAGCCGAGAGGAGCAGGGTGGGGAGGGCATGCTCCCAGAAGTGCCCTGGGATGGATTGGGTGAGGGGGAGGCAATGCCTGGAGGCAGAGGGAGGCTTGGGGGAGTGAGTGGGCCTGGAACTACCACTCCTGTGACTGCCCTAACCCCCCAACGTCCAGGCTTTCTCCTCAAGGTGGAGGCCCTGTTCACCTCTCTCCTTCCTGCCCTCGGTCCTGCTTGCCCATTCGAACCTGAGGCGGGAGAAGACAGGGGCTTAGGCAGGCAGGGAGGGAGGGAGGGGCTCTTTCAAACTTGAGAACCCACATGGCACCCCAGGGACTGAAAAGTACCCACAGCAGCCACTCCCCAGGCCAGGCAATGCAGTGACCAGGCTGGGGTCTGGCCTGGTGGTCTGGGCCCACACTGGCAGCACCAGCACCCTGCATCCCTCTGCTTTCAGTTCCTGGGCAAGAGGCAGGGGTGGTTTGGGGTGAAGGCCTAGGGCTTGCTGTGGCCATGACAATGTCAGGGCCTCCCAGGCCAGAGAAAAGTGAGGTTTGCACTTCACTTACATTTTTCTTATGAGGCCAGGCTAGGAAATAGTTGGAAATAAAAGCAATGGTGGGCAGGCAGACTACCCTCAAAGACAGGCTCTTGTGCCACCTGTGCCCCTCGGGGTGAGGGGAAGGGCATCTCAGTGCAGAGGATGCTGTGGTCATGGGTGCAAGGAGGTGCAATAGTCTTGGCGTAGATCTTTCCTGGGTGGGTGACCCCCACCTATGGTTCCACTCCACCTGCACCAACTCTTCATGACCCAGCCTCACCCTCACTGGAGAAGCAAAAGCCCTGGAGGCCAGGGCTGGGACAAGCAGGGGAGAGGGGGGAGAGGCTTGGGGCTGGTCCTTAGGTATTGCTTCCTCCCATTGACCCCCATCGCTTGGACATGGGTGGCTGGCAGGGGTGGGAGTGAGACCAGGGTTGGGGCTCCTCCACCTGCAGGACCTCTAATCTCTCATCCTCGAGGCTGTTCTTACTCACCTGACCTCACCCACTCCCCAAGGGCACAGGTGGATGAGCCCTTGCCTCTGAGGAGCCTTTGGGCAGCACCTGGCGATTCTCTTGGTGGTTTTCCCAAGTCCTAGGTCCCGCATCATCTCCTCTGGCCTAAAACCCCACCTCACTCTTTCTTTCTCCTGCCCTTCATGCTCCTGCCTTTCATGCTCCTACCCTTCATGCTCCTTTCCAACCTTTTCTGACCCAGGTCCTGGCTGCTGCTCCAGGGCCCTTCTTCCCTAAATGTAAATTGCGGAGGAGAGACACCAGCCAGGAAGTGAGCTTGTGTGCTAATTCCTGGGGCCTGGCTCCTCCCTCCTCAGACACACGCCAGCCTTTGCCCTCCCAGTATTTTAGCCCTTTTCCTCAGATCATGCAGTGGTTCTCAACCTTCCTAATGCTGCGACCCTTTAATACAGTTCCTCATGTTGTGGTGACCCCCAACCATAAAATTATTTTCGTTGCTACTTCATAACAGTAATTTTGCTACTGTTATGAATCGTCATGTAAATATCTGATATGCAGGATGTATTTTCAGGGGTCGCGACCCACAGGTTGAGAACCGCTGCCTCCGAGTGTCTGAGGGGGGAACTCCTGGTTGGCCCCTTCGCTCCCCCAGGTGACATTTTCTCCACATGTCACCTGCTCTGGCAACACTACCCCAGCTGTCCCCCACTCCCCTGTGCTGTGGCTTCTTTGCTCATGGTGACGGTGTCCTCGCCGCCAGAGCTGTTTATATTGTCCAGGGACTTCTCTTCCCCAGCTAGTCTGTTGAATGATGCGCCATATCTACTGTGTGTTTGTGCTCTTGAGAACATGATTCCTTTTCCTACCGGTTTCTCTCTCCATTTCTTGCTTGAGAAGTATGTGTGTGCATGTTTAGGCCTCTGTAGGGTGTCTTTTCAAAGAGACAGAGCAGGCCCGCTGGATTCAGGGCAGAAGGAAGCTTTTGTGTTGGTGATGCCCTGAGGTTCCATTTGGCTCCTGGTGGCAGATAGCAGGGCAAGGTGGGGCCCTGGCTCAGGTGAGGTTCACTACGGTGGGGAAAGCCCAGGGCCCAGCCAAGAGGAGGACAGGCTCCCCGCCCCGTCTCAGGGACCCCCTGAAGCTCCTCTCTCAAGCTTTCTGAGCTTTGGCTTCCTCACGTGTCACATGGAGATACCACACATGCTTTCCTGACCCAACCTGCCGGCTGTGGAGTGGGGAAAATGCTCTACCTAGGATGGTCTGTTCACTGCCCCGGAAACGTCCTGGCTCACTCACTGGACCTCAGCACTGTTGCTCATGCTACATTCCCTCCTTGGAATGTCCCCTCCAGGCCCCTCCCTTCCTAAATCCCAACTCCTTCAAAGACCCCGCCTATTCTTTCTCCTCTATGAAACCTTCCCTGATTATCCCTGCTGACAGCTGTCAGTCTCTTCTCTCAGCTTCTGTAACTCTGAGTTAGCCTTACCCAGTCCCATGTGATTGCTTTATCTCAGGGGTTCTTCACCTCAGCACTACTGACCTTTTGAGCTGGATAAGTCTTTTTTTTTAAATATATATTTTATTGATTTTTTACAGAGGAGAAGGGAGAAGGATAGAGAGTTAGAAACATCAGTGAGAAACATCGATCAGCTGCCTCCTGCACACCCCCTACTGGGGATGTGCCCACAACCAAGATACATGCCCTTGACCAGAATCGAACGCGGGATCCCTCAGTCCACAGACCGACACTCTATCCACTGAGCCAAACCGGTTAGAACGAGCTGGATAAGTCTTTATTGTGAGTGGTTATCCTGTGAATTTTTGGAGTCAGCAGCATTCCTGGCATCTACCCACTAGATGTCAGCAGTACCCCCCAGTTATAATGGCCAAAAATGCCTTCAGGTGTGGCTACAAAATCTTCCCAGTTGAGAACCATTACCTTCTTTACTATTTAGCTTCTTTATTTTTAGGATATGTTTTTATTGATTTTAGAGAGAGAGGAAGGGAGAGGGAGAAAGATCAATTGGCTCTCTCTCCCTAGCACCCTGACCAGGGATCGAGCCAGAAACCTGGGCATATGCCCTAACCGGGAATCAAATTGGTAACCTTTAGGTGCACGGGACAACATTCAACCAATTGAGCCACATCAGCCAGGGCTAGCTTTTAATATTTTATTTTCTGCCTGACCAGTGTAGCTCAGTGGTTGAGCACCTACCTATGATGGTTCAGATTATTTTGTAATTCAGATTTTGATTTGAATAAGTGCTGGAAGCTGGTCCATCCTTGCTGCTTGACACAGTCGCTGCAGGGAAGAAACATCTGCACAGCATATGTTTCAAGGGACCTGGCGTATATGGCATACTGTTCTTAATATGTTTGCTC